GCATTCCGACTTCCTCGGGGCTGATCCGGAGACCCGCGCCAGGCCCGCCGTCTTTGACGACGGCGAGTCGTCTGAGCGAACGGCGCCCAGCCTGCAAGCGCCCCTGAGACCGAGCGAGGAAGACGCCGCGATCAGGGCCCGGCGGGGGTCGCCCGACTACGGCGCGGGGCCTTCCCTCTAGGTCTGCAACGACGCGCGCAGCATGATATTGGGCCCGAGCTCGACCCCGAGTGGATGGTGGACGCGCCGAAGCATGTGGGCAGATGCGATTTCGCGCAGCTGACACGGCCGTGATTTCGGCAAGTGGAGGAGGACGGGGCGCGGCGGCCGCCGGGGCGCGGGCGCGCTTTGTTCCGGCCACGCACAAGCGGGCGCACATCCGCCATTCAAGCGAGGAAGAAATCCGCGTGCCCTGGCGGACCTACGCCAATCCCGAACAAGCCAGACCTCTTCTTCAACCAGCAAAGCAAGGATGCGCTCGGCAAGCACAGGAAGGACACGGCAAAGCACGCCAAGACAGGGCGGGCAGGACGCGGTCCACGACGCAACGCAGCGGACTGCCGGCAAGAGCGCGACGGTCAGCGGCGAGCCGCTGAACTCGATGTCGCCCCCCCCCCCCCCCCCCCCCGCAAGCGCATCGCGACAGGCGCCCGGGCTCCCGCGGGGCGCGGCGGCGACCTCGGCCAATTGGACGTCTTCGGGCTGAAGGCCATCTACGAAGCGAGACAGCGGGATTTCCCCCAGAAGAACAAGAAGGGCGCCGGCGCGCAGATGGACCTCGCAAAGCCTCCTCACCAGCGTTTATCCCGCGGAAAAAAGACGACTTCGGCATGGAGAACGCGCTCGCGCACCACCTCGGCCGCGGGGGCGACCTCGACAGCGCGCGAGCAGAAGAGCCCCGCCAGCAAGCAGAACAAGGTGGCATGGCGGATTGAAATGCTGGGTGGGCGGGGTGCCTGAGCGCGGGCAGTGCCGCTGTCTCCGGATCGGGCAATGACGGGGCGCGCGCCGCCGAAGGGGGCGCTCGCCGCCGTGCCCCAGGACGGCCGTCGCCGCGCGGCATGGCCCGTCGCGCGCCACTTCCTTCGCAACGCGCGCGCGCGCCCTTCGATTCACGCAAGCCGACTGATTCGTTCTCGGGGGGCGCGATTCGCGCCCCCCGGAAACAGCTCTCGTCTTCGCCGCTGGAGTCCGCCGCCTGCGCGGCAGGTGAGAAGTGGGCCGCAGTGCTTTTCTGGCTCGAGAGCGCGTCAGCCGTCAGCAGGGCTCGCGTCGGTGGCGCTTGCAGCGATGGCGTGCGCGGGGAGCGCGCGCAAAGACATCGAGGCTTTCAAGAAGGAGCTCGACGCTGTGGCCTTCGACGCGAGGGGCGAGTTCCTCGCTGTCTCCGATATCAAGGACATGTCGCCAAACCCTGATGATCTCTGCCCAGCACTTTGGCGCAACTGTCGACAAATGCAGTTGCCCGGAGTGCGAGGCCGAGTTCACCGTGCACGGCAAGTCTGGGACGTCTGACCACGCGGCGCGCTGGCAGGGGCGGGGCCTTCGAAGCGACCGCGCAGGCTGCTGCGGCGGATGCAGGGACGCTGGGCATCCGCTGTTGGCCAGCGACAGTGCGTCGAACGAAACTATTCGACTGCATGGTGCCATGTGCACCTACACTTGGAGGTTAGCTCCGCGGACAACGCAACGCCGCGGGATCTTGGATGGAGAACTTCCAGGATGTAGTCGCGCCCTACATCGTTGAAACGACTGCCCTCCCGAAGCTGCATGAGACCTTCAAGAAGCGGGCCAAGGTCAAGGGCAAGAAGGGCGAATGGAAAGACGACCTCCAAGAACAAACAGCCTAAATTCATAATGCAGGCCGCCGAGGTCTCTGTGACCAAGACAAAGGTTAGCTGCCTGGCGCCAGGCACCCGCTCCAAGAAGGACACAATGTGGCTGAGGCGTGCGGTGAGGCAAGGCAGCCCTGGGAACATCCTCTTCCGTCTTGGGGCACCCAAAGGACGCGTTCGACGGGCGCACCCGCGGGACGCAAGAAATGGTGACGAAATTCGACGCGCGGGACCTCCGCAAGGGCATGGCCCTTTCCGCGAACGGGTGGAGGGCTGCTTTCGCGGCCATCGAGCACATTAAAGCAAGGATGGATGGTCAGGATGGTCAGGCAGGGACCTGAAGCGCGATGTCGTCGTCCACACCATGGGGCAAGTCAAACACCAGCGCTGCTTCACCACGAACCTCATGGAGAACCGCTGGTCGGTTCCAAAGAGATGGCTCCCACACCGCCTTGGCGGCCGCCTGCCGACTGCCTCGGATCGGCGGAAATGGGCCCGCTGGGTGACGGAGTTTCATTACAGCAAGGCCGTCTCGAAAACGCATTCAATCGATGGCGGCCGCACCATCCCCCTGTCGACAGAGACCTTCCTCCCGCACGCGTCGGACGTCACACTGTCTGGTGGGGGTTCTGACGCGGCGCCTCATGTGCTGAGGCGGCAGGTGGTCGGGAGGCTTGGCTCAGTCTGCGTTGAGGCGAAGTTGGCGATGTAGCCAACAACTGGTCGCCTGTTGGTGGCGGGGCCCTGGGTTCCTTATTGAACAACTCCTGTTCCAAAACTCCACCTCTTCCTACTGCCCGTCTACTCGTCCATTATCTTCCCTCGCCACCTGTATGTCGTCCTCCTCCTGCTCCTCGTCACTCTTCTCCTCTCTCCTCCTCCCCTTCCCCCTCCCCTCCCCCTCCCCCTCCCCCTCCTCCTCCTCCTCCTCCTCCTCCTCCTCCTCCTCCTCCTCCTCCTCCTCATCATCATCATCAGCATCATCATCGTCATCATCCTCTTCCTCCTCCTTCTCCTCCCCATCGTCCATCTCTTCCTCCTCTTCCTCTCTTTCTGGGGTTTATGGGAATCCTGGGAGTTCAAGCTTTGGAGCAAAACCAACTTTGGGATCCTCACAAGGCCCAAGGCTCAGAATCCTTGGAACCCAATGGCATCATAAGGGTTCGCAACGTCGGTGGTGCGCAAACCTTGTGAATTCACTGGGGTTCATGAGATTTTTGGTATGCACATTCACAAAACCATGCGATTGCATTGGGATGCGTGTGATTCCTGGGATGTCGAGCATCGGGGCAAAACCAACCGTGGGCTCCCCAGGAGGTCCAGGGCTCAGAATCGCAGGAATCCGCATGAAATCGCAGGGTTCGCGACGTCGGTGATGCGCAAACCCTGCGGTTTCACTTGGGTTCCTTGGATTTCTGGGATGCAAATCCACGAAACCTTTTGGTGTCAGTAAGATTATTGGGATTCTGGGGATTTCAAAACTGGGATCAAAACCGAGCTTCAAAACGCAGGGTTCGCGACGCTGGCGATGCGCAAACCATGTGATTTCTCTGGGGCTCCTGACATTTCTGGGATGCAAATCGACGAATTCCTGTGAATTACATGGGGTTATTGAGGTTCCTGGCGTTTCAAGCCTTGGGGCGAAACCAACCTTGGGATCCCCACGATGTCCCGGGCTCAGAATCCCAGGCATCCAACTGAAATCGCTGGGTTCGCGACGCCGGTGATGCACAAACCCTGCGAAGTCAGTAGGATTCCTGGGATTTCTGGGACGCAAATCAACGAAAACCTTGCGATATCATTTGGGCTCCTGGGATTTCAAATTTTCTAACAAAATCAACCTTGGGATCCCCTGGAGATCCAGGGCTCAGAATCCCAAGAATCCAAATGACATATGATGTTTTACGACGTCGGTGATGCGCAAAACCTGCGATGTCATTGGGATGACTGGGATTTCTGGGGTGCAGATCCACGGAACCTTGTGATGTCACGGGGGTTCCTGGGATGTCTCGGGTTTTCAGCCCAGGCATTTTGCGACCCCAGAATCATATTTGGTGTTTGCTCTGAGGCTGGAAATCCCGGGAATCCCAGGAATCCCCATGAGATTGCAGGGCGTCGTAGATTTTCATACCAGAAATCCAAGGGAGCCCAAAGACATCACAAGGTATGCGCACCACCGACGTCGCGAACCTCCCGATTGCATTGAGGATTCCTCGAAGGTTCTGAACCCTCGGCTTCCTTGGAATCCCAAGGTTGGTTTTGCTCCGAGGCTTGAAATCCCAGGGACCACACGAACCCGATTGAAATGATACGGTTTCGCGGATATGCATCCCAGAAACCGAAGGAATCCCAGCGAACCCACAGGGTTTGAGCACCACCGACGTCGCGAACCCTGCGAATTCCTTAAGGCTCCTGGGATTTTGAGCCCTGGACCCCGTGGGGGCCCCAAGGCTTGACATCCCAGGAACCCCAAGAACCCCAATGAAATCGCAAGGCTTCGTCGGTTTGCATCCCAGAGATCCCAAGGATCACAATGAAATCACAAGGTTCGCGCATCACCGACGTCGCGAACCTTGTGACTTCATGCGGGTTCCTGGGGTTCTGAGCCTTGGACCTCCTGGGGATCCCAAGGCTGGCGTTGCTCAAAAGCTTGACTTCCCAGGATCTCAGGAATCCCATTGAAACCATAGGGTTTCGTGGATTTGCATATCAGAAAACCCCAGGGACCCCAATGAAATCGCAGGGCTTGCGCATCACCGACGTCGCGAAAACAGTAATTCCAGTTGGGCCCCTGGGAGCCTGAGCCCTGGACCTCGTGAGGATCCAAAGCTTGGTTTTGCTCTTGGGTATGACAACTCAAGAACCCCAGGAACCTCAATGAAATCGCAAGGTTCCGTTGATCTGCAGCCCAGAAACTCAATGGACCCCCCAATGAAATCAGAGGGTTTGCTGGCGTCTCGTCTACAGGATGGCTCGCGCGCTTGTTGTCCTCTACGTAGAGGCAGCAGACGCTGGCATCTGTCACGTTGGCGCTTGTTGACAATGCGCTGCTGGCGGATGCGGGTGAGCAGCGGAGAAGAAGAGAAGCGGAGAGGAAAGGGAGAAAGGAGAGGCGACACGATCCCAGCCTCGTGGAACAGAGGAAGGCGTATAATGAGTGCAGGG